ACAGGCTCACCTGGCTGTCCAGAGAGGACAGGCTCAGTGACTACAGTATGAACCTAGAAACTGGACACAGGCTGACTGGCTGTCCAGAGAGGACAGGCTCAGTGACCACAGCTTGTGGAATACAGAACGAGCCTCTAAAAAAACAACACTGATATTGTTCTAAATGATTGCAAATGTTTTGCCAATTGCTATTGATTTGGCGACACTGTAATTAATCGGTCCAAAAGCTCCGAAAGTGAATTTCATTTGTGAGCGGTACGAAGGGGTCTCTACACATTCTTTCGCCATTGTGATGCAAGATTCCCCACTCGCTGCATTTTCTGCTTGGCACAACTAAGCCAGCGGCAAAACTGGTCCAGCCTCATCATGCCAGTTCTGTCAGTTCCATGTTTGTTTCTTGGTGTGCGAGAGGGAGGGAAGTCGGGGGGGTGGGCGCGGAGCTGACCTGAAGCCGTAGTAGGTGCCGGGGTCAGCCAGCTCCGGGAAGCGGTGCCGCAGCTGGCTCTGCACGGTCTGCTTCTCGTACCACATCTTGCTGTCGATGCGGATGTCCCAGTGCTTGTTGACCACGATGAAGTCCGGGCTCTGGTACAGCACCTGCAGGTTCTCCAGGCTGGCCGGCTCCATGGCAGCCACCCCTGCCTGCGAGCGCACGGCCGGCCGCGAGGAGATCAGAGGGAGACACGCCGTCACTACTCCACCGGACGCAAGAGAAAGGGACAGCGATGAATTAGCGGAAGCCCGATGTGGACAGAACTGACATACCGCGTGCAAACTGTAATTGACTCGACATTAAAAGAAACGTAGCCCTCTATTCACACACTGCCTTTCAGACGAAAGGCATACGGAATTTGGATGAGCGATCCAATGTTTTTCGGGCCACTGGGATGAACTGATCACTCATGACCGAGCGCGATTCACCATCGCGACCTTGACTGTTGCAGCAGCCCTAAATCGCCTCGTTAGTCCAAGAGCAGACTGCGCCCAGGGCGCCAGGTGATTTCGCCTGCTGAATGTCAACCTGTATGAGAACGCAGAAAAGAACTCACATGCGCCGCTTCTAGACAGAACAATGCCTCTGGGCCATCAGTCCACTGGACACTGGACCGGTCTTCGCAGTCAGCGCTTTCTAACCTGGTAAGACACACAACGGTTTTTCCAGGTTGGACAGATGATTATATCCAAGCAGGATGGTCCAGCCAGGACTGTCCAGTCGCTACAGAACTGCTCCTGTAGTGGTTGATGGCAAACTAACCGCACAGCACTACACTGGTCAAGCCCTGGGACCATCCACTCCTGCCCTTCCTGCGTCCTCATCCCGACAGGACAATGTCCAGCAGGACTACACAGGTCTCTGTGCTTCTTGTGTTACAGTTGATCACACATCCGTGGGATGAGATTGAAGGAAAAGTGGCATCTAGGGTTCAGAGACCAGAGCACACAGACTCCTAGGTTTGTATCCGGGCCGTAGCAGAGGAATGGGAGGGGGGATATCAGGACAGGATCTGTGCAACATTGCAAAGCTCGAGTCACAGAAGGCCAGACTGCTCTGTGTCCAGCGGTGGCTTGAGACCTTCTCCCAATTGCAGACCGTAACCAGCATGAATGAATCTGCTGCAAAACACATTCTATCATTTCCCTCATAGGGATGTTGCGGCTGTGCTGCGGATGTCAGTGGCTTTCGAGGCTTGGAACTCTTCTACGCAGTGACTGTCCCATCAGGAGAGCTGACCACCTGTCTTACGAATTTGGGCATCAAATGCACTTAAAGTCTTAGTGAGCCTTAGTTTGAGTTGCTGCCTCTTCTTTGTCTCCCTGTCTTTCAATTCACATTCAAAAATGATTTTTCTTTCTTTTGACTACATGGATCTCAGCATCCCACTTGATTTTTCTTGGCAATCCTGGACAGCACCTGGGCTAAACTACATTTCGGACAACTACACAAGCACTTTCAGAAGAGAATGCTTCACACTGGACAGCAACGAGGGATGTAAGATGCTCGGATTTTGCGTGGAACCAGTCCCGTGAAGAGCTGCGGCTTTGTGGGGTATTTAAAGCACGCTTAACGCTGTGCTTGAGCTGCTCTATCGATCTCAGATGGCATAGGCAGAGCCCGTGTATTATCCCTGACAGCCAATCGCAGTTCATTTATGAGTTCTGGGCAGTGAAAGACGGCTTTGTTATTCGTGGTCGCGCAAAACGAGAAAATATTTTAAAGAAGCCAAGGGCTTCAGCGTGCAATCGGTACGACCGAGTAACACCCACAAGTGACAGAAAAAAAAAAACTAATCGCTCAGGGCAGGGAGGACCCAACACGTTTGTCAGGGTCTGGTCGTCCATCGCATCGAGATTCCTGCCGGATACAAGGTCAATCAGTACGGAAAGACCACTCTCACAATGTTTCCTCCACATTGTGGAAAAGGGACGCAGAAACCGGGTCACCGTGCCTGACCGGGTGATCGTTATTGATAAACGAACAAGGAGCCGTGTTGCGAAACCCCTCGAGCACCCTCGCCTGTCCTGCAGCGCACATAACAATGTGGATACTGTTTCAAAATTGCGAACTGAATGAAGTGAATCTTAATTCTACCTTTTAAGAATTAATACATATACAGACAATACTGCAGTATGACGATCATCACCACACGTCCCCCACGAGTGACACGACATTCATTTCAGTTCAGCGTCCTGTAAAAAAGTGGTTTACTAAGTAGTTTATTATGTAACAAGTAACATACCTGTATGATCTGATCTCGAACCCCGCTGTTTCACGGATGTGTCCCGTAATCGTTTTAATCTATCACCTTCCCCCTGCCGGACCACATTGTATCCGTATACAAACAACCCCACGAGCAGGCCGGCACACTGCGCCACTCTACAACAGCAACCTGCTCTAGCCAATCACGAGCAGGCAGCCCCGGGGGCAGACCAATCAGAAGCCCGAAGAGGCGTGGCGGGGACCCGAGAATGTTGAAGGCTGACCCGGATGTGATTGTTAGAAGTTTTGCGGGAAATGTGAGAGCGTTCAATTCATGAGTTGAAGAGGAAATGTAGAGGGGAAGGAAAGGTTGGGAATTAAAAATAATTACAGTGTTATGGTATACCGGGACCAAACTGATCGACAGCCCTGGTGAGGGGGATACCGCAGCGGAGAGATGGATGAATACGATGAACTTTACGGTATCGAGGATGACTTTGAACAGCAGTTCGCGGACGATCTTGAAGCCCTCGCCGAGATGGAGTGTGAGTAGACCAGCTGCTACAAGACAGCCCCCCCTGTTTCTGTACTGCGCTGTTCTCGAGCAGATGCAGTGCTTCTCTGGTATAATCGGCGGGAGCTTCAATTCTGCCTGGAGTGCCCAGCCTGAAAACCTCACTGGCGTTTCGCTGCTGGATGAAAGATGTTTCACCTCTGACAGGACTCGCCGTGCTATTGTGAAACAGCACACTTGATGAATACATGCGTGTATGTGTGTGAGAAAGTCAGCCTAACCCTAGAACCCTCAGTGCCTGCAACTTTGTTATACTTTTCCAGGTTTATAGGAGATTTGGCCATATAATACCATCTAGGGTCTGTTGAAAAAGTGAAGCCGAGTTAAGCCGATGTTCTACAACTGGACACGGTAGAAAAGCCTGCCTTTCCTCTCATCAGAGGTCTAACTCTATCTCGGCTCTTGGAGGGCCTGGTATTTTGTTTGTTTTTTTTGTTCTACCCACGTTCATAGTTACGTAATTAGTCTAATTATTTAATTAACTGCATAATTGCAACAGTTCTAACCAGGCTCCGAGAGGGCTTGCTGGTACCTTCCCCACTACTAACGCGACTGTCTTGTGTGATGAACTGTAAATGACGGGGTATGGCGGATGCAGAACATCATGAGTTAAGCTGTTGCCCAGCGGCTCCTGTCTCTCCCCCCGTGCAGACGAGCCTCCTCCCCCAGCGAGGGTGTCCGGGTTCAGGACGAAGCCGCAGTCCTTCGAGGAGGCCATCGCTGCCGGGGACGCCCTCGTGAAGCGCCGGGGCGGCGCCCAGAACTCCGGGCCCCCCGGGGCACCTGGGGGCTCTGCTGCCGGCCCGGAGGGCCCCCCCGCGGAGGACGGCTTCCCGGCGGAGCAGCTGAGTGAGTGCGCCGCCCGCCCGCCCGCGAGTCCGCGCTGAGGGCGCCCGTGTCCGCCGGCTGACGTGTCTCCGTTCTCTCGCAGCCCCCCGGCCCAAGCGGCGGAGACGCGAGGCCGTGAAGAAGCTGCAGTTCACGCAGACGGGCGGCGGGGAGCCGGAGGACGACATCAGCCCACCCTCCTCCCCCGAAGATTACAGCACGTTCAGACGCAGCAGGTAAGGGGCAGTGAGCACCGCTGCTTTAATTAACAATAATAAACATGGCTTACACTTCTATAGCGCTTTTCTGGACACCCACTCAAAGCACTTGACAGGTAATGGGGATCCCCTCCACCACCACCAGTGTGTAGCCCCCACCTGGATGATGCGACGGCAGCCATAGTGCGCCAGAACGCTCCCCACACACCAGCTATCAGTGGGGAGGAGAACAGAGTGATGAGGCCAGTTCATAGATGGGGATTATTAGGAGGCCATGATTGGTAAGGGCCAGGGGGATATTTGGTTACACCCCTACTCTTTTCGAGAAACACCCTGGGATTTTTAATGCCCACACGTATTACGTCTATTGAAAGAAGGATGGTGCCTTTTTACAGTACTGTATAGTGTCCTCATCACTGTCCTGGGCGTTAGGACCCACACAGACTGCAGAGTGAGCGCCCCCTACCGGCCCCCAGAATACCTCTTAGCAGAAACCTGGTTCTCCCAGATCTCCCATCCAGGTACTGACCAGGCTCACACCTACTGAGCTGCAGTGAGTTGCCAGATGTGAGCAGCAGGGTGACATGGCTGCTGGCATTATTTTGCTTTACCCAGATGGGAGTTGTGCTCTGCAGGCAGGTAAAGACGCAACACAGTACGTTTAACAGGCATAACACATTACACAATATATTTGATAGATGTGAGGTGTGAGAGAAATATGTATAAACTAATTGTACAGTCAATTGTCCAAACTGAGCAGGTTGGTAGCTGTGGGAGTAAAAGATGACCTAGCTCTCTTGCTATTAAACACAGCTGTGTAAAACCAGCTCACACCAGCAGAAGGCGCTGTCTCTCTGTGATGCATTACCTGAGTATGAAGTGTTGCGTCTTATCCCGATACCAAGATACAATAAAACTGCGAACGTGCATATTGGAGCCCTGCAGTGAGATTGTTTCTATTTTGAATAGTATCTCTGATCAGCTGATCGAGTGGCCTCTTATCCATGCCCCTTTTGTCTGTATTTGATTCTTGTCTGCCAAAGCCTTTTTCGCAGAGGAGCGTCATTAGCGAGTTTTAGGACTAACACAAAGGCTGAAACGTTTAACCAATTTCTCTGGAAAATCTAATCATATTACCTGACCCAGAATATGCACAGGAGTCTTGCAGAAATAGAGGAATCCTGCAGAGGAACCATGCTATTATACAATTGTATTGTTTTTTTTGTACTACGTATCGTCTGAGAGCTAGCTAAATAGCATTTTGTTATACCATATACCTGTATATGAGTATAATGACAATAAACTTGAACTTGAGGTGTGACAAAGCAGGGCCAATCCCTGTGTGAGTCGCGCGGGGACGTGGGTGTGGGCTCTGTGCTAGCGAGTCTCTCTCTGACAGCGTGCAGGCAGAGTCCCGGCAGGCTCTGGACATCAGCGGGCTGGCCGAGCTGCAGGAGACCCCCCGGAGGGAGCCCCGCGGGCCGGAGAGGCACGTTCTTCACCGACCGCCCCCCTCGGGGGGCTACATCAGTGTCACCGACTCCTCGGGGAACAGAGTCTACCTGGCCATGAAGGACGAGGACAGCAGGGTGAGAGCAGGCAGGACTGGAAGGCTGTGTTTAATCGCAGAGTCGCGCGGGGGCTGTGTGGGCGAGCGGTCAGCCGCAGTAACTTGTCTCCGCCTCTCTTTTCTCAGGCTGTGGACACCCAGTCGCTCAGGAGGACCCAGTGGTCTCTGGGGCTGTTGTCTGTGCCCATTGAGCAGCTGAGGGAGCAGGTGGCTGAAAAGGTAGGTCCACACACAGGTCACTCAGCCTCCCACTGCCCAGGCCTGCTTTTTATCAGCCTGGCACACAGACCCCAGGGAAAGAGTTGAATAAACTTGGATTTTATTCCCTTATGTGCAGGGTGCTCTTCAGCAAAACTGTTTGATCAGATACCGCAGTTTTCAGATTATCTGGCAGCTTCAGTCCAGTTTGGCATTTATCGCATAATTATAATAATTCCTTACATCTATATAGCGCTTTTCTGGACACTCCACTCCAAGCGCTTTACAGGTAATGAGGCCTTCCCTCCATCACCACCAGTGTGCAGCATCCACTTGGATGATGTGGTGGTAGCCATAGTGCAACCAGTACACTCCCCACACACCAGCTATCAGTGGGGAGGAGAACAGAGGGCTGATAGGGATTATTAGGAGGCCTTGATTGGCCTTAGGGCTTTCTCAGGACTTCTTGAGATGCACTCTGGGATTTTTAATGACCACAGAGAATCAGGACCTCAGTTTTCATCCGAAAGACAGCACCTTTTTACAGTATAGTGTCCCCGTCACTGTACTGGGGCATTAGGACCCACACAGACAGCAGGGCGAGCGCCCCCTACTGGCCCCACCAACGCCTCTTCCTGCCGCGACTTTAGTTTGCCGTCTGCTGCCAGGATAAGGCAAGCATGCGCTTTGAGGCCGACACTGAAATGAGTTGCGTTTCTGATATTGATTAGAATGTGTTGGGGCTGGTGATGTGTGTGGAGGAGGGTGGCGTGATTCACTATTTCTATATTTATGCAAGTTGTAACGTGGGATGGAAGAGGTTGAGAAACGCTGAACTACAGTGTTCCGAAAGCAATAACCATTTCCAAGCCTTACGTTATTGCTATAATTAATTAATTCTTCTGTTTTTTTTTCATCTTATTATTAACGCCAATAATATTTGGGAGGCTCACTCTGTGTAACCCAGGCTGTGATAGGAGATCACATTCCTGGCTGCAGATCTGTTGAGTTTTCTCCCCCAGTAGGACTGATAGCTCTTCTGGTTCTGGCCGGTGTGGGAATTCTGGGATTTGATTGCTTCTTTTGGTGGGGGTGGGGGTGGGGGTGGGGTTAATGGGCTCAGAGGAACGGAGACCTTCCTGCCCTTTCTGCTGCTCTGCGGCTCCGTCTCTGCTCCTTCTCCGTGCGCAGGGTGAAAGCGGCCCCTGTCAGGCCTGGTGTTGGTGGATAAGGGTGTGTCTGGGTTTTCTTTCCAGCGTCATCGGCAGTTGGTGGAGGAGTCTCAGAGGCTGAGCGAGCTACTCAACAGGTACTCGTCCCCCCCCACTCCCTGTCCACAGGTGCACCGCAGGAAACCTGCGCAGTTTCATCAGCTGCATAGCTGGGAGATGCCTCAAATTGCATAGCGTTTTTCTTGCCCTGAAGTGAGAACTTCATCCTTGACCATCCTTGCAAACATCACACTCACTGCTGTGTAGTTTCACGATGCTAGAGGAAGCGAGATCTTGTGCCTTAGAAGTTAACGGCCAAGAGATTGAATTCAGCAATGGTTCTGTTTGCTTTTACCCTCTATTCCAGTTTCAGGATGACTTAAACAAAGTTGTTTTCCTAATACCATAGTTTAGGTGTTGGAGAAACATCGTTTGGTTTCCCTTTTCCAAGCTTTACATCCTGTTAGAATGACCTTTACACTTTAATAATCATTGTCAGTAAAGGGGGGTCAAGTTGTGCTCTGGGTTAGAAAGTTTTGAGGAGTGCTATGTTAATCCTGGAGCGTCCTTTCTTTACTCGCCCAGGGACTGGCTCCCAGACAATATGCTTGTATTTCCAGGGTCAGTGTGCCTTGTCCTCAATCGCCCTTCGACACCAGGTGGTTGACCCTCGTCCTCAGTCGCACACGAGTGTGGGTGTATCTGTCGTGGCGTCTGTCCACAGTGTGTGTGTGTGTGTGTGTGTGTCACAGTCTGCGTCGCCCTCCACAACAGCGCGTGTTTTCCTCCCCCGCAGTCGTATTGACCAGGAGTTCGGGGAGCAGGATGGCGCGGAGCAGGTGCAGGAGCCTGAGGGAGAGGGTGAGGAGAACGAGAGAGGGGATGAAGAAGAGGACTTCAGCTCCTCCCGACTCTGGGTGGACAGATTCTCACCGCGGCACTTCACTGACCTGCTTAGTGATGATGTAAGTCTCTGTTCACTGACCCAGGTGACACAGGCTCCACTGAAATAGTGTCCCCTCATTTCCTGAGTCAGACCTAAGGCAGGGCGATGATATCCCCTTGTAGTGACCCCTGAGTAATTGTGGGTGTGGGCCGGAGACACCCCATCCAAAGGCACGTTCGATTCAGGCCTGTCTTGTTTCATTTTGAAATCCCGGTTAGAGGGTGAAACTGGAAGTAAAAACATTTCGGGGAATATTATTATTGCAGAAATGAACCTCCCCAGCCAATCTAGTTCTCAATATATATTGTACCTCCAAAATCCAAGCTTCGTGGGGCCAAAAGATGATGCTTCTCCATCCCTAATAAAATTAACTAACTTCCTTCACAGAAATATATGTTCATAAAAAGTTGATTTAGCAACTATGTGAAAAGTCCACTAAAGTAATATATATGAACAAAGTATGTAGTTTGATGGCTTATAGATCTAAGTGAGTGAATTTTAAACTCCATATACTATAGGGATATAAACAGGAAAAAGGTTTTTAAAACATGCACTGTATGGGAAACCAGTGTGTCAGTAATAACCCGTTCAGGGATTCTGACGTTCTGTGACCTTCTGTTTACACAATTATACAAGACTGTCCGACACACGCGTGCATTAAGGATACTTAATTCAAAACCTCATCTACATTGACGCAATTACAGTACCTAACGGAACAAGCAAAACCAGCAGTAAGAAGTTTCCCTGCTCTGTTGCTGGAAAAATACCACTTTGAAAACGAAACTTTCGGGTAGTCTGAGGCAGACGAGCAGGCCACACTCTGCTGGTAGACTGTCATGAGGGGCACAATCATGCAAATTCCCTGTAATCCCTCACGATAATGTAAACATCTGATTTGGGCAATCTTTTAGATGTGTTTATATGTAGTCTGTCTTCCCTGTTATCCGTTTGTGTTTACCACCGTGTCAGTCTGGTTTTCTTCAACCGGAGGCTCTTGGTCCCTATCCAGGCCCAGCCCAGCCCATGGGTCTCCAGTTGAAGAAGACTGCTGGAACAGTGTGGCTCTTGAACAAGAGTCTTCTGCAGCAGTGCAGGAGAACCAGAGCAGCTGGCCACCCTTCCAGCACGGCAACAACACATCGATCTGCATCTTTAATTTGACAGAGGGTAGTGCTTTCATGCACAGACATCTTGAAAGGTGACGGGGGCCTCTGACGCCCTCCTGTACTGATCCGAATGTGTTCGCACTGTAAACGAATAACAAGGCGTTGAAGTCACCAGTACCGCATCGCGTTGGTACACAATCTCCTCGTCTTACTCCTTTTCGGCCTCCTTTCGCTTTTTCAAAACTCCCGAGAGTGGCTAGTTCTCTTTTCCACCAAGACATCCATCCTTCCCTGCCTCTGAGTACCTCTCCCCTTGCAGTACACTAACCGCTGCCTGCTCAAGTGGCTGAAGCTGTGGGACACCGTGGTCTTCGGGAGGGAGAAGCCAGTGAAGAAGGCCAAGCCGGCACAAGATGGGAACCAGTCCCTCAGCGGCAGATGGCAGCAGAGAGAGCAGCAGAACCAGCGGTTTAAGACCAAGGCCCAGATCACAGAGGAGATCCTGGAGGCCGAGCTGGACCAGTACAAAAGGCCCAAATACAAGGTGAGCGATGCGTTCGGACACCTACGTTCATCGCTCTTGTCCATACGTCCCACGTCCCAATCGCTTGATCTCTTTGGAGTGGTTTAAGGTTTTTAATTTGGAATTTATGGCCCGTGCGTGATGCTGTTTCCTGTAGGTGGCGCTGCTGTGTGGGCCGCCGGGCTTGGGCAAGACCACTCTGGCGCATGTCATCGCAAAGCATGCTGGGTACAACGTTGTGGAGATGAATGCCAGGTGGGGCAGTGTTTTTAAGGTGCTACAAGAATATCTGTGCATGAAAAACGGCGCGTATGAAGTATTTTTGAGATTTAGATTGAGCTCTGTGTAGTAATAAAGAGAGGTGGCCCTGACGAGGGGCATTTTGAGGCCAGGGGAAAAACGGATTTGTAACGCTTCCTAACCAAGACCCCCCCTCCCCCGTGGCACAGCGACGACCGGAGCCCCGAGCTCTTCCAGAAGAGGATCGACACGGCTACGCAGATGAAATCCGTCTTGGGGGCCAACGAGAAACCCAACTGCCTGGTGATCGACGAGATTGACGGCGCGCCCTCCGTGAGTCTCCCGGGGCCGCGCCCCTTTCCCCGCGGTCCTCGTCCCCCCTCGCCTCCCTCGACTGCCCGAGCTGTTCCATTCCCATTTCTCCCCGCTGGGGAGTCAGCAGTGACCCTGAATACCCGGTTTGACAAGATCCGCGTTTTCCGTTTTTTTTTCGATTTTTATTTCTTCCTACGTCTTTGTCCCGTCATTCCCAGCCTCATTCCTGCTTCCTTGCTCTCTTCTTGGTCCTCTTGGCGTTTTTTTTTTCCGACCCGCTTGTTTCCGTTTTCCCAGGCGGCGATCAACGTCCTGCTGGCCACCCTGAACCGTAAGGAGAGCCGAGAGGAGGAGGCGGAGGGGGCGCCCAGCAGCCTCGGGAAGAACAAGAGGAAGAAGAAAGAGTCGGTGTTGCTGAGGCCGATCATCTGTATCTGCAACGACCTGTAGGTGGAGCTACGTGCCCAGATGTGTGTTTCCTGCAGGGGCTTGCTGCTGCTGGACTTGTATCTGTGTTTCCCCAGTACAGTCCATCTCTCCCAGGCTGTTGTTCAAGGGGTTGAAGCGATGTTGGACATCTGAAGGATTTTCTGTCATGATGGCAAAAACATCAGACAGCTGTTGTGTGTCACAGCCTGTGTAACTAAAGACGTCCCGTTATTACCAGTTTTAGCTGACTGTAGTTGTTCCTGTTGCCCGGATTATTCAATGTGTGTGCGTTCAAGTCCCTCTCTGTGTTTTCCGGACAGGTATGTTCCTGCTCTGCGGCAGCTACGCCAGCAGGCCTTCCTATTGGCCTTTCCTCCGACACAACCCTCCCGACTGGTCCAGAGACTCACTGAGGTACTGGAACACAGATACTGTACACACACCCCCTTACTGATCATAGCTGCATCTCTCCTGCCTGGTCCACTGACTCACTGAGGTACTGGAACACAGATACTATACACACACACCCCCTTACTGATCACAGCTGCATCTCTCTGACTGGTCCACAGACTCACTGAGGTACTGGAACACAGATACTGTACACACACC